TATATAGAAGATTTTACAATATAAAAACTAGACCCATAGAAATTCTATTTCATAGAGTATATTCGATTACCGTCTACTTGATCTTGCTCCCAAGTTAATCAACGTTTTTGGCCATTTTTTTCTTCTGGGTTAAAAAAGTCTCTGACATTTTTGGTACGCGTTATTGCAAAATAAAAGCAAAATTTAATTTATAAAAAAATGAGTGGAGTAGCTGGCGGAATTTGTTGTGTAAATAAATAGCAAAGCGTTTTGTGTGCTGTCCATGATAAGTATCATAGCTCTGCGTACTTTTTTTTTTTTATTAATAATCGAGATTTGGGGGCAAAGTTTAATTTGGAATTATGAATAGAAAACAAAATCGGGTTTTGCTTACATTTTTTTTAGACAACTGTCAGATAAGATACGCAATTGGAATGTCTAATGACAGATTTCCAAGAAAGATAATGGCTTAAAAATTTCTGGGCATGGAAAATTATAAAAAAAAAGTATAAAAACCCGAATAGATTGTTATCAAACGTGTTTATCTTTGGCCATAAAACCAAACCCCAAAGACCACTTAAATATAGAAAGAATATTATTCTTTGTTTGCTCATAAATATATTATCTATTTTTAGCTACTGCAGTAAATTAAAAATAAGACAGCCTTGTACAAAAAATATAAATAGCTGGTTTTATTTAAATAAGTTTTTGAGTAATATTGGCTTTATATATTTATGGCTTGAAAACGAAAATTAAAAACATTTCATTGTTTATTTATCAATCATTAAATCGTCTCTCTGATAATTTCCTTTGTTTTTAAGGCTTTCTCTGGTTTTTAAGGAACTGCGGAATTCCAATGGCATTTCCATCGAATCTCATCTTTCCTTCGGCCAAGATAGGTTTTTAACAAGGTGCGATAAACAACAAATTAATGCTCTGGCACGATGACAGCCCCGCACAGTGAGCGCCAGAATTAAATTCCACATAGCACAACGGGCGCCTTGGGATCCTCCAGCTGGTCCACCTGGTGGTGTGGAGCCTGGAAAAAGGGTTTCTTCGACTTGTGTCGGGGAACAATTCATAATTGTCATTTATTTATTGCTCAGATATTGCGCGCTTGATTTTACGGGCGCTTATTAAAATGAATTTTTCAACACAGAGACACTGGGGAGTGAGCCTGGGTCTTGGCCATCTGATAGGCCATTTGATCGAAAGCTTCGATATGTGAGTATGCTATCATGCCCCATAACCTCTTACCACTACTAGTGTATTTTTATTACATCTGAGCGCCACCCGCTGCGCAGGCGTGTAACTTTTTTTTACGATTCTCTTTTCGCCGGTTGCTTTCGGCTCTTGTCCTTCGGTTTGCTTTGTCTTTTGTCTAGAGCGGGTGGCTATTGCTCTCCCTTTCACTCGGATTCTGTAGGCTTTCTCCCTCTGACAGGACACTGTAAGAAAATGTGGCGTCTCTACTTATCTGAGATCTGATCCTCCTGATCCTTAGCCTTAAATATTTCTTACAGTGTATACTATTTTGCAATTTGTTACTTGTGGCGTGTTCACACCATTAACGATAGCCCAAAGAGAAGCTGTTTTGTTCCATGGCGTTCAAATTAATAGGCGTCAGCCTGTAAGGATCTATGATTAATGAAGCGCGACTATCGCTGCCTTAATGCTGTCAATATATCACAATATGTGCAGCACAAAACACTGCGCTAACCGATTACCGCGACCCATGATCGCAGAAGGTGCCATTGTCAGGAATCGCATCCCGATGCGATTGGATTGCGTGTTCTTGGTGGACACATCGCGTGAGTAATCAGCCGCATGTGGGTAATGACGAAACGATCCCCCCCCCCCCTCTCTAAAGCCGTCCTTGATCCTGGCCAAAAAAAAAATTCATTAACTCGTCCAATGCCAACTGCTTGCCAGCTCACAGTGACTCTGCAACATGTTGCTCGGTTCATGCAACATTCAGTGCCTTGTCCAACTCAAACCTGTTGTTGTTTAACATGTGATTTTATTTTTGCCTATGTGTGTGTTTGGGAGATAGTATGGTGGTGTGCGTGGTGCATTTATCGCATGCGAGAGCTGAAAAACTGGGAGCATAATCAACCCCTATGCTTTGAAATTAACGTGGCCAGATCTCAAAGATGGAAATTTATTTAAAATTTAAGAATTATTATGAATATTTAATAAATGTTGCATAGAATTACTTTTTAGAAGTAGTTTAAAAATAAAGGATTTAAATAAAACCCCATCTAAGCCCATTTCAAAGCTTTAAATTCATAATATTATGCTTTATTTTATTACCCTCTTTTAAATTCAAATCGTAGAGCTTTTTATAGCTTTTCGTATCCTGTTGATGGTCTCATTATTTTCCCAAAACTAACCAAAAATGTTTACTGGTCAGTTGAAAATCATCCCTTTGGAAACGTTTTATCTCTCCTTTGCCAACCTAAGAGTAACTGTGGATATCGCATGCGATTTCACATGCATAGACCGTTATGCAGGTCGCAAATATATATCTCTCCGTTTCTCTGACTTTCTCTGTTTCTCGATTTTTGCTTCCGCAACATCTTAAAAAGAGTAAATTGGCCAAGAGAGGCTACAGGCTATAGCAGCGCTGTCGACTTCGCTGCCACAAAGCTTTCTCAACTGGCGGCGGCTCCTGTTGCAATCAAGTCGCTCTCATTGCGGTTGTTGTTGTTGTTGTTGTTGCTGCTGCTTCTGTTCTTCTTCTTCTTCTTCGTCTTATGCTTGTTATTAGCCTCAAGTGGTGAGCTCCCCACCGCCACCCCCATCCGCCTCGCGACTGCGGAAGGCAAACTGGCCGGTCTCAAAGTCTCTAGAGTATTTGTTCCAATAAGAAGAAAACCATTGCTCTGCTTCAGTCAACACCGCGGCGACTGTGGCAGAGGCAGCGACCGAGGCAGCGGCCGTAGCAGCGACATATCGGCCTGGTCGGCCAGTTTCGCATCGCAACATTTAGTTGGGTTCGCAACAACAAAACGTAACAAACCGCAAGAGTCGCGACTCGCAATCCGAATCGAAAATTCATTATATCCGTTATAAGCCTGTTCGAGTTTTAATTAATTAAAAATAAATAAACAATAACATAATAAATAAACAAACATAAAAATGATATTTAAAAAGTCATAAAATAAGATAACACATTCCAAAATGTATTAATTATGCCAATTTTTAATATACAAGCCATAAATATTTATTGCAGTGTGTGTGTGTGCGGGCTTAACACCTTGTTGGCCACCCTTTGAGGTTGCTTTTTTTTTGGGGTGATATTTCTACTGTGAAGTGGCCAAGAAAAACGTTTTTCCTTTTAAAGACTTTGTGTGTTCATTTGAGCCTTTTAAGCCGTTTAGGCAGGATCTCAAGGAACATTCGTAGACGAAAAACGAACCACCTTTTGGCTTAGTCCCCCCCTTCAAAGGACTTAACGTATGGGTTTCCCATTTTCGCCTTCCGGGGGATGGCCAAGTGATTCATAAATAGGTGGAAAAATATGAATACAGTAAAGCCTGGTTTTAGTGAACGGTATATATTTGGTTTTTTCTTAAAGATATTTTAAGAATTTTGAATCAAAAGGATCTTGTTCTCGATCACTTTAAGAATCTCTGACATTATCCTTAAAGCTTAGCTTTTGATTAGCTTGAAAGTAAGACTTTAGTTTTTAGAATTTCTCTTCGGCAGGACACACACGTGTTGTTGGCTTTCTCTTAGAAAGTAGTTTCTCTGTGCGCAGCGGCGCAACCAGGACTCTCTTACAATCAGGCCATTGCATGCGAGAATTGACATTCTCGCTCGCGAGTTCTCCCTTTCTCTCTAAAAGCGCAGCTTGGCAGTGCTGCTGCTGGTGCTTCCTCTTCCACGCATTTTTGACACTTGTGACATTTTTGACACACAAATCAATTGTTACGTGAATTTTCAGCGCGTCGTGCAGCAGCAGCAGTAGCAGCAGCAGCAGCAGTCACAGCACCAGAGGCACACAAAGTCGGGTGACTGCTCACAAAAAAAAAAATCGAAAAAAATTATCCAAATCAAAAGCAACAAAATCATATTTTTTGTTAACCGGAAACTAGTGTTGTTTTTCGCGTTAAGCCGCAATTGTTGCCTACTTTAGTGCGTTGCCCAAAGAGCCAAAGTGTGTGTGACATAATTTGGTGTAACGAGCGAGAACTTGAATTTAAAGATTCTAGCACATAGCTGGCTATAGTGTGACCTCAGAGTGCATAACACACCACTTTGAATACTAAAAGGCACTCCGCCACTGCCTTACCACCCCATCAAGCGACCGACCTACCTACCTACCTACCCACCGCCCACAACGCGCCCCTCTTTTTGGGGGCCTTCTTCTTTCTGCTGCAAATCGATTTCTGTTTCCGGCATTTTTCACGTGGCTGCTGCTGTCCCCCTTCACTGAGAGAAAAATATATGATTTTAACTAAATATTAAATTATTAGAAAATAGTTCTTTGAAGACCACTATAAGAGTTTTATATCATTTTTATTCTTATCCTTTTTTTCAATAGCAGTAGATTTTTTCTCAGTGCTCTATGTTGGTCTGTTTTCGTGCAGTTTTTGGCTTTTCGCTGCTGCTCTGCCATTCTGCCACTCTGGCGTTCTGGCCTAACGATTTTTCCCGCAAACAACACGGCGAAACGTGTCGGGCCCCAAAACCTAAGCTCAAGCCCAAAGTCAAACACAAACACAGGCCCCAAAGCCCCAAACCCCCTAAATCCAAAAAGGTTATAGTAGAGAGAACGAAGAGGACATTAAGGTGGCAGCCAGCATGGGCCGTAAATCGCAAATCGTAAACAGTCTTGTGCTGGGCCACAGCTGAAAGTAACAGTCAGCCTGGTTTATCGGAATCGTTTTTGATTTCCTGCTTTTGGCCTGTATTCCGTGTATTTCGTTTTTCCGAATTCCGTATTCCGTTTGCCGTATTTCGTGTGTGTGTGTATGAGTGTGTGTGTGTGCCATTCCATTCGCTACTTAGGGCTTTCCTCGTCGTGGCTTCATTTTCGGTTTCGGTTTCAGTTTCAGTCAGTCAGCTGCTGCTTTTCACGTGCCACGTGTCGTATGAGTAATATTTTCGGCTTCACTTTAATGCCAGCAGTTACAGCCCCAACCAGCACCAAATGAAAAAAAATGCTTAAAAAAAAGGGAAAAAACTATTTTAAAAGACTGTCCAACTGACATATATTAAATATTAATACCAATTACGGAATTCATTAAGTGCTTAAATCAAACGCAATTTCAAAGTGTTCAAAATTATCAATAATTATCACAAATAACAATAAAATAATCAAATAAATGTTCGCTTGGATTAAAATTTAACAAAGAAGCGTAGACGAAATACGAATGCAAATTAGATGCAAAATAAATGGGTAAAATGAGGTCAAGTAAATACGATGTAAGTATTGTCGAAAAAACGTAAATTTATTAATAGTTTTTAAGGTGAAATTCAAGTCTCTCCTCTTGAGTTGTTAAGAATTACAGATACTTTCGCTAACTCCCCGAAATTGGCCATCAATCTCGACCTTTCATTTCGACAATTACCAATTGAAGGTTATATGTACCTGGTTGGCCCACCTGGTCATCGGAGTGAGAGAGGGAACCAAATTTACATAATCACTTAACTCATGGCCCACATTTTAGGCGATTATCGGGCTGGATATTCAAGGGGGGGAGAAACAAAGGCAAAGACCCGGTCCAAAGGCAACGATCTGAACATAAATTAAGTGCAAAAACGGAAAAACGGACGAGCTGTCTGCCCTTAATCTTGAATTACAAATCGAGTGCAATTATCTGACGTCTGCAATGAGTCTCCCACCAACCTCCTGCCTCCAACCCACAATCGAGTTCTTGGTCCCCTTGGGGGCCTCTTAGCAATTTGTTTTCACACTTTACGATTTGCCCGGTCGGATCAATGTTTTCGATAAGCGTCGACAACTTTTCTTGGACTTTGCTGGACCGGGTTTTTGTCCGATTCTAGCCCGGGGGAACGGGCAATGGTTAGCTCCACTTTGCTTTTAGTTTTTTGCATGTGAATGGTTGGTGGGCCTTTCGGCTCTTGGGTGCTACTGTGTGCGCCTTTAAATTTCGCATTTAATTGATTTGTCAACACAACTTCGCTGGGCTTCCTGGGCCACTAAGCCGCTTATTGAGACACTGGTAGCCAGAGTTATGCCGGCATAAAATTTCCGACTTTAGTGCGAAATCGAAAGTCGAGAGCTGGCCAAGGGCCAGAATGGAGAGCGACTTCAAAGGCCCATCGGCGCATTACTAACTGCAATCATCAATCAAAACCCCCCAGCAGAATGTTGAAAGGATGGTGGGGGATCTTTGGTCACTCAATCGACACAAAAGTTGCAAGCTCATGTCTGCAAATGCTCCCTGATTCCCTGATTCCAATTCAGTGTCAGTCAGTATCCTGTGTGGGCGCTTTTTACGTGCCTGGACTCTTGATTCTCGATGGGATGCATTCTTCAGGGTAGTACAGTGGAAGTGTTTATGAAAAAATCTGGTTAAATCTTTTCATAATAAATATATCTCCAACAGTGTCTTATAACGACTCCATTGTCCCCCTGACACTTGGCGACATTCTTGAGTCTTTTTTTTATTTTTAGGTAGCGCCGTGCGGCCTCCCTGATTCTGAATTATGTTGTCATGTCCCCCTGACTCTTTGTTTTGGCTCCGTTTGGGCATTGTCTTTGTTGGCAGTGGCCTCTTTGCCTTTTTTGTGTCTTTCTGCAAAATGCGAACACGCGTCTGTAGCACGTGGGCGGAAAATGTCTGCCGCCGTTTGTGTCTTTTATAAATTTTCATATTAATTCCACTTTTTTGTTTTGTGGTGTGTTGATTTCGGCGAGCTCCGCCGGCTGTGCGGCGTTTATTAATTGTGTGCGAATGTTTGCACAATTTGTCAATATTATCGCACAAAACATGACCATTGGCAGTCGCCCCCGCCTCGACCTGGGAGCCCGCCCTGTCCTGCTACCAAAAATGTGTTTGGCTAAGTGATTTGTGATTTATGATTTCACTCGAATTTCGCCTGCATATTTAACGGGGATGTTGGAGTGGTTGCCACCCAACTATCTATCTATCTCATTCGTATTTTATGTATCTATCTCTGTCCAACTATCTATATCTGTATCTCGGTCTGGGGTTTTGGGCCGAGGTGGTGGGGGCCTGACTATTTGCTAATTCCCCAGCTCCGTCCCGGCCCGCCCCGCTCACGTCGCGCAATATGCTTTACGACTTTATAATGCTCGGCTAATTGGGTCAACCAACCTGGCCAGGAGGGCAGGAGGGGCAGGGGGCTAAACGAGGCCGGGGCCTGGGACGAGGGTGGTCTGGGACGGAGGAGGAGCCGACGCATGTTTCAAATGTTTGATAAACGCGTTGTGGCATTGCCTCCTGACACCACTCATACATATTAATGCCAAACCGTCGACTTGGCCTGGTAGCCATCTGGGTGTTGTTACAAACTTGGCTAAAAACATCAGACAGCGGGAGCAAGAACGGGAGCAGACACTGGAGCACCACCTGAGTTGTGTGGGAGTTCTTTTTTTTTTGTGTCTGAAGTAGAGGAAGTCCAAGTGATTGGTGGCTGCCGTCAAGGAATGTCAAGTCAGTTATTAACCATTTAGCCAGGCCAATTTATTTTTAAATTTAATTATCAATTATTTAGTAAACTACCTCAATTGCTGGTTACCAAAAATTAAATTTAAGCCAACATTGTTATCTAAAGTTTGTGCTCAATATTTCGATTACATTACCCAATCAATTTTGACAGTATTTTTGAGATATTTTTTAAGAGGCTTTGGAAACTACGTGTCTCGTTCAAAGGGGCGTCTACGTTGGGTCAACTTAATGGAAAGCGAAAACTCGACAATTTTCCACAACTGGCTATTTTTTTTTCTTCATACCACCACTACTCCTGCTAAGCCGCGAAAGTAAATAATCCAATTATCGCACACATGCGCGCCCATAGCATAAATAAAATCATTTGATAAGACAAGCCATAGGAGTCCGAAGACCACAGACTGAAGACTAAAGACCGGAGACCGGAGAGAGAAGACTGGAAGAGACCGAAGAGAGCTGCCGTGGCGGGGAAAATTGCATAAACATGTTTGGGAGCCGCTCACTGAGGAAGTAAGTCAGTCAGATGCAAAGTCGAGTCTTTGCATTTGAAATATGCTGCATTAATATGCCGATAAATATTTGCCAGCCATCCCCAGTACTTGGCACTCTCCGCTCCGCTCCTCACTAGTGGCCAACAACTCAATTAGATGGCAGACACTGAGGCTGAAATTAAATGGCATAAAATATTTCCACGAATGATCATCCGGCAATGCCGATTACGATCATGATCATGATCACAATGTGGCAGACTTGGTGCAACTTTGTCGCCTTTCGAGAGAGGAGTTTGTCTTGAAATGAATTTCAAGGGGTATATTGGGCATAAGAAAAGGGTATAGTTATAGTGGATATCCTCCAGGGTATCTATAAGTAGAATCCCATTGAAATGGCATGCCCCAATCCTTGGGCATTGTGTCAATGTCAGCAATGTCTTTGCAACTCACCATCTCCCCAGATAGCGTCTGCATGGCGTGTCAACAATTTGACAGACATTCATCAGCGTTCGCCACTTTGGAGAGCTGCCTGTGTCGCATACTCAATCAGATGGCGGAATCCGACGGATGCACTCCAAGCTGCAGTTGTGCAGATGGGGAGTTGTAGATGGATTCGCAGTTGTCACTTGTGTGGTGTGGCTTCGGCTTTGGCTTTTGTGCCGCGTGCGCATAATTGATTTTTTCTTGGCAAACCGCCACTTGTTCACTGGTCACCACTGGTCACTGCCTGCCTGCCTCGAGCCTTCTGTGTTATGTGTTCTGTGTTCTCCTGCTGTCGTTGTCATATTAATGTCAAAAAGATTGCACTTGATCATGAGTTGCGTGTTTGCCAATTTGTATGCCCAGCTCAGTTCAGTTTAGCTCAGCTCTGGCTCTTTTAAAAACGTGGGCTGCTCTTCAGGAGGATTCTTTTTAGATGAAGAATCATGGGAAAGCCAAGTGAAAGGAGTGAGGCGGAGATGCACTTGTTTGTGGGCGTTATTCCAACAGCATGGGAAAATATTTTCACAACTCTCTGCGCTTGACTGGTATTTGTAAATGGCCAGCCAACCAGCCGGCCAGTCAGTCAGCCATCCAGCCAGCCAGACGGGCGAACAAAAAAAAAAAGTAATATTGATAAATATAAACAAACAATTGGCAATATTTATTGATTAAATACCAAAAATACCTGGAGGGTCTAGACACTAACTAAAAATAAAACGTGCGTCAAGTATTTTATCGGGCGAGCGTTTTCACTTTACTTTATTTTGCATTCCACTGAGGGGGTATTACTGACCTAAGCTACCCAAATAATAAATGGGCATGAATCAACGATACTTGGGATTCCAGAGAATTAAGAATTGTGCCAGTAATTACCAGTTTAAATACTTGCTAAATGAAAGATACATTTTTTTTTTAGGCAGGCACTATCTTTCACGATGATGTGTTATCCCCCCTCTCCAGAGTCTGAGTTCAATTGCCATTTAATTACTTCATTAAACAACATTTCCATTAGATTTTGCACATGTTGAATGCAATTACTGGCAAAGCATTTAGACGCCAATAATTATTAGATATACTGTATGCCAGACACTCTCGGTTGTCGGGTAGAGAGACACCCCCGCAGATTGCATTGACATTGAACTGCATCTGTTCACAGTCCTAACTGTAAGTGCCAAGAATTGTTAAGATGCCATTGATTGCTCCACTCGACCCCTCGATTACATGGCTCTTGGCACTCACTTTATTAAATGACACTCCTCCCAGTGGCGTTCATGATGTGGATGACTTGCTGGGGTTGGGAATTGAATGGTTTTGGTTTTTACGATCTGGGAATCGTTTGAGGTTGGCAAAAAATGCCATTTAATAGTCGTAATCACATGTTTATCTTAAAGTAGTTTTCAATTAAGAACGGATATGTCCGATAGTTGCATTTTCACTTTCAAGACAAGACCCGTTGAAAAGCTCATTTCCCTAGATATTCTACAACCGACTTGCTAAACGGGTTTCCACTCTGATCATGCCATTAACCCGCCGATGTAATCCATACGCGGTGCAACATATTATTCAATTCAATCGAACTGTTGCATAAATCTTGACCAGCACTCTCGCCGCTGAGTTGAGCTCCACAGCCAGCCTCGGGTAATTCGTCAGGAACTGGCTGGGGCTTGTCATTATGTCAAGTTCGTTGAGCAGCCAACTAAACTAGACTTGTAATCAGAAACAGCACTAATGCTATGGAGCTCCATCCTCATTACCATTGCCACAACTTAGTAGTTGGTGGCTCATAAAAATGGCAATCACATTTCATGCCATGCTCGCCCCAATGTAAATCGGACATAATACTGCGCATTTTCGATTCGACTCGATCGTTGACCGATCTCTAGTGTGGGTGCCCCTGGGGAATAGACATATAGCTATAGTATTTGTGTGAAAAAGGGCTAAGCCAGAGACCGGAGGTTTGAGGCGGTTTTAGCCTCGTGATCCGTCAGATAACACGCAGTTTCCCCGGAAATCTGTTTGCACTCGACTTGATCGATTATTTATAGTGGGTGTGTGTGTGTTTAGATATTAGAACTCCTTGAATTCCCAATAAGGCCAGACGGATCAGAATTCGCTTGAAATTTTCCCCCCTTTCGAGGTCTGGGAACTTCCCCAGTTTGATGTACATATTTGGGTTAAAAGTTCAAGCCTACGACAGGTTTGCTCAAGGTTGGAAAAATTCATTTGAATTTAGAGAGTAGTCACTGCCAAACTGTTTACCCAACAGCTCCTTCCTGTGTCCTCCTTCCGATTCTGGGTTGAACTGGTTCAGCATTATCTTTCGCTGGAAAAAAACCACACCCTGGCATAAAGTTAATTAAAAGCTTTCAACGCCTTTGACATTTGCCGCTAATGTCGCTCCCGTTGCTGGGTTGCCGGTGTCCTTGTGCGTAAAGTCAAATGGAGTTTTCCACAATTAATTCACCCCAGCTAGCCAACCAGTCAGCCTGGCTGGCAGGCTGGTCGTTCTGACAATTAAGAAATTCCTACCTGTTCAATAATTTTTATCACATACATTTTTTATCGCAAATATCACAACTTCATCAGCAATCAATGCGGCCAGCAGCCAAGCAGCAGCAACGAGCAACTACCATTGCAACTGCCACAAGAGGCGGGCTGGCTGGCAGACAATTAGCCATAAAATTAGCTGCAAGTTGGTCCAAGGAATGTGATGTCGATGGCCAAGGCGCTTGGCGGTGGCAAATTGAAAACAATTTTAGATATTTGCATATAAATGCAACCTGAGAAGCTGCCAACCGGCAGCTGCAATATCTTGTCTCACTGTGGGTCCCACAAACTATTCACTGAAATCCCAAAAAAAACACTATATATCTTAAAACTCTATATAGGACTTGACTGTAGAAAATGGTAATGTGGTCATTTAAGACCCTTATTTTTAATCAATTTCCATTTTATTGATTCCACTGTGCAAGACCGTAAAGTTTATCGGGATTGCAGTTACCATCATATAGTTAAACATGGCGTGTTCCCCGACTGTGGTCAGTACTAAACGGATAGCGATAGGCTTTTATCAACTCAAGAATATAAATATTGATACAGTCCGAGTGTACTTGGCAACAATTAAAGTAGCCTCTAATGGGGGCAGCCCCTCGCCAAGATCAACCATTATGTCCACGTGTTCCACCATAAAATTCCAAACACCAGCATATGGGAGAGTACTTGCGAACACTTGCGAATGCTGTTTAACAAAAAAAAAATATATATATATATCCACAAAAGTTCAAACTACATTTCACGCCTAATTTCATCTGACAACAACATCGGCGAAAAGTTGGGGAATATTTTTACACATTTTCTTGCTGTTATTTGCCGAGGGAGCTGTATTTTGTGGCGGGGCGCTCTGTGGTGGCTGCTGTGTTAATTCGAGACATAATTGCAAGCTCGCCAGGATGGGAGCCACGCCGGGGAGGGGGAGTGCTACTTTCGGGGGGCGACAGGAGGCGGGAGGCCCAGGGGACAGCTTCGCCGACTGGTTATGACAGCAATGACAGCTGCGACGGCAGCGGCAGCGTCGGCATTTGAATAATTTGCAATTAAACGCTCCACGCGGCTCAGCAATTAAGCCAGGAGCCAGGCAGCGGCGGGGGGAAGTAAAAGAGTTGGTACTGAGAAAAAAAATTATAGTAATAATAGTAACGTATTTTATCTATGGGCTACTTGCACTCGACCCATTCCGATAGGGATAACGTTTCCGATTTTAATCCGATCCTTAAAAAAAAACCTTGATCCATTTGTAGTTCAATTCCCTATCATTCTGCATCAAAATCCCAAAACAAAATTTTCGATCGATATTTTTTAAATTTTTCTGGGGGTACCCCTTGTGAAATCCGGATTTTCATATATAGTCCCTTCAGTTGTCCATATCTTTCCCAATATTTATCAGATCCTTAAAAGGAATACCTTGATCGATTTGTAGTTCGATTCCCCATCGTTCTACATCAAAATCTCAAAACAAAATTTTCGATCGATATTTTTCAAATTTTTGTGGGGGTACCCCTTGGGAAATCCATTATTTTCATGTATAGCCCTTATAATTTGGGCGAATCTTAAGCAATTCCTATCCGATCCTTGAAAGCTATACCTTAAACAATTTGTATTTTAATTGTGCATCACTTTGCTGAAAAACCTATGACCTAGATGCTCGATACACTTTTTCCAACATGACGTATGATCAAGGAAGACAACTTTTAATGGATATAGCCCCCATTTTTTTATGGATTCCCTAAGTTTATTTCATCAAAGTGTATTTGGGGGAGTAGAAAATGGCACAAAAAAAAAGCATTTCCCCCTGGCCAAAATTAAGAGACCACATGACGTATGCGTAATATTTGAATCTGCTTTGGAAGCAGGCTGGTCGACTTTTGAACGGGTTTATCTGGTAGCCACAGGAGTTGCGATGAGAACGAATCCAAATGTCCACGTCCATCAGCTGTCCGGAGCTGCTGAAAGTTGATGGCCCACGATGAAGACAGCGGACCGGTCAAAACCAACACCCAACTGTGTTTCCAATTAAACGCCGCTTAGCCAAACAACGCGGCCAGCAGGCCGACCACCGACCACCGACCACTGACCACCGAACTCTGAACAACAAACAACAAACAACATGTGGCGTGCCGCAACTTTCAGTTTATTTTACGGTTAGCTCGCACGTTAGCCACCGCACTGAACTTGAATCTTTATGTGGTAGACAGATCGGTACCGAAAGCACCAAATGCCCCACAAGATCCAGATCAGAGAGCTGTGTGATTTGGACAGAGTGTGATACGGACTGACAGACTGACTAATTGATGGCCAGCTGATTGATTGAATGATGGATTGTTGATTGATTTATGGCCCAACGTGGGGTGTCTGAAGTGCGCGTAGTTATCCACCTGAACTGGATTATGGAGAGCATGGATTGTAGGGAGCTAGTCTTCATTCATGATTCAGCTTACATTGTTGTGAATAATATTTTCCGATTGATTTGATTTGCCAAAACTGCCCATTAGGTTCTTACTCGAGCCTGACTAACGAGCTACGAATTCAGCGACCTCAATTCTTTCAGAATTAGTTCAGAAATATTTATTCGCCGGAGAATGCTGCTGCTGCTTTTGCTGTTTCTTCTCATTTGTCAGTCCTACAGTGAGTAATGGTTTTCCGGCTTCAACTGGGTTAAGGTATTTCCTTTCTTTTCGAAGCTTTGCGGAGTAGATTCACCAACGTCAGTGTCGAGTGCAGCTTCGAGTTCTGTTCGAGCACCAGGGGATGGCTGACCCCCAAGGGAGAGGTCAACATGGACATTCACCTGAATCGCACCCTCAGGAACGGACTCCGTACCACCATTACCCTGATGCAACTGCCAGATATCGCCACCAATCGCTACCAGACCTTGTTTAGCTACGATTTTGACACCTGCAAGACCCTGAGGGAACTCATGCAGGCCAGCCTCATGAAGGTCTGGCTGAGGAACGTCTTTAAGTACGGCAACCTGGCAGACAAGTGTCCCATTAAGCCAGTATGTACTACACTGATTAGAGGGATACATTTTCTTTAAAAATTTTCCCTTTAGGACAGCTTTACTATCCGAAACTTTGTGCTGGAGAACAGCAGCATTCCGGCGTATCTGCCTACGGGATTCTATCGCCTTCACGACACAAATTATTACGGAAAGCCCAAGGGCAGACATCGGCGGCTGGTGGCCACTTTTATATTGGACATAAAGTTCTATTAAATTGGAAATGGAAAATTGGAAAAACGACTTCAAGTGGGTCACGAGTTGGCAAACTTTCAGGGCTTTCCTTGGGAATGAGTGTAGGAAATCGCAAGGATTTCGCAAGTAACCCACTCACCGTTCAAGGTTTCTCTTGACAGCCTCATTTTGGGTCGGTCTATATCCCTCTCTGAGGGGGCAGGTCTTTAACTAATTGCATAATAAATTTGTGCAAATTTATGGTGCGACTCCTGCCACTGTCCTTGCTCATTTGTGATGTCAAAAAGTCGCTCAATCTCAATAATTTACGGGTAATTGCCAGCTCAGGTATTCGCAATGCCCTACATAATATTGGATTGTCATAAATGTGTTTTTGGTGTGGGTTGGGTTTTGGTTTGTGGTTTCAATTATCAGCCTGGAACTGCATTTAAGATCCAGGGAAATTTTGCAAGCTTAAATTTATTTTTTAAAAGGAATTTCCAGGTTTAAATAATACGATTAGTAACCGGATGTTACTTTGATAATAAATTTGGAGCTACATTACCTATTTTTGACAAAGCAATTAGTGTTTTTATAATCGTTTTGAAGCTTAAGCTTGAGGGGCTTCCCAAGATAAATATGAGATTTTATTTTTGGCAGAAACAACTAGAGTTCAAGTCGCGATAAATCTTTAACTAAAATAAACCTCTTTAAATTATGTAGTTGATGTTCTGAGCAAACCCATATGGGATGCTTCGGAATATAAATCTTGAAGAGTGCCTCATTTTGAACTGGTAAACTTTTAGCCATCATAATTCCCGTGGCTTAATAAATCTTATAAACAAACTTGACAGTAAACTTAATTGGAATGTGGGAAATCCTGTCTTGGAAACAAATTAGTTTTTAAAATATGTTTCTGAGTCAGACACATTATGGAGTAATGCATTATTGGAGTATTTTATGCATTATAGGAATTTTAATTTTTAAAAAATTCTAAGCACTGTGTTTGATTTATTTTTCAGGTTACCACAGCTTACGGTCTATGCCAAGATTATTTACCTCCTGATGGTAAGTAGTTCTATAACTTGCGAAGGGATGACACAATCCCAGCTTAGTCATTTGGAGATCCTTGAGTGTCTGGCAGGTTCATCACACTCGTGCTCGTTCAATGCAACAGTTTCGATAAACTTATTTAGATATTTGCACCGACAACCACAACGGCAACGTCAAACACAGAACGGGAAGGGGAAGTCAAATATTGGTATGGAGTGCCCTTCAGGGCAAGTATTGACGCGTGTGCAAATATTCGATAATACTATTAAATGTGTTTTATTTATGGTTATATCATACTCATCGCCCGAAGAGAGCAACAAACTTGTCAGTCAGACAGTACCCAGCCCAGCCCTTGTATATCAGCCAACGCCCATTCGAAACTATGCCAAATATTTTATCAAAATATGAGAAATGGGAAATGCCCCCCACAGAAAGGAGGAAGAATCAGTCTCCTCAATCGATTGTCGTTTGGCGTTATCAGTGGTGATTGAAAAAATATTTACCAAAAAGAGAGAAAATAATAATAAACGGCCAACTACAATGGAAATGTCGAGTAAATAATTATAAAATGCCAACAACCGAACCGCTAATTAAATTATACTGTTCTCCGTTTCTTACACGTTTCTCCTGCTATTTGTTTTTTTTTTTTGGTCTTGTCGGTGTTGCTGCCACCGGCGTTGTTGCTGGATTTTTTTTTTTTTACACTTTTAATTTATTTGGCAATCAATTTGAAGTATGGCCCATGGCCCATGGCGGGATGTCCCCATCTCCGGCTCCGGCTCGGTTTGGCTTGTTAATGTGCCGAAATAAATAACTGAAATATCTTGAATTCCAGAGGCGTGAAACGACCCAAGTCTTCGCCAAGTTCCGTTTGCCGCAATTTTTCACCTTAACCGTCTGCCTGTCCTCCACATTTTTTTTATGCAGTCAGCGACTATTTACTTATTTGTTCTAAATGAACAACAAAATTATATATTTCTCATTTTTTTCTTTTTTTGCAAATAATTTTGGCATGAGTTGACGCAAGGCTCGACGCGAGGTTTCGAGTTGATTGAATTGTTTGACGCTTCAAGTATTTTTTATATTTATATTTTGCTGCTCACAAGTATTTCTCATGCCCTAGGCATCTGAGAGATCTCTGCCACCACCTGAACCTCTTCATAAATTCGCGTAACGCATTCACCTCTACTCGAATATGCAAAGTGTAAACTCGAAAAAATTCCACTCGTAATGATGGAGAAGATTGAATTCCAGTTTTAGTGCCTACTTACTTGAGGGATATAATTATGTTTATTATTAAAACTTTTCCCAAACAAATCACTTTTTATAGCCACTATAAAACTCTCAAAATGAACCTTGACCTCTCTGACTCAGCGTTGGAAAAGGACTCCGACCGGAAGACCCATGAAGGCTTCCTTTATAGCCAATCCTAGAAGGATGGCTCAAATTTAATATATCTAATGCAGAGGTTAATATTATCAAGGGGTTAATATTTGCCAGGGAATCGCCGATGATTGCACTGAGCGTGTGCCAAGCAAATAAATGAGCAATCAAGGGCCAAATTAGCGGCGTTTTTTATGGCGGCTTAGCATGGGGCTTTTTTTGATAGTGTCGACTTTGATTGGCGCCACCAATTGTGCTTCTAATAAATGACTTGCCGTACAATGGTACCTAGACATAGATACACGAGTGGAAACCGAAGAAAATTCGAGTATATGTGACGGAATATCATGAAATTCAGATCTCTAAAGGAAACCTACGGGCTATTCCCGCATTACTTCGAAGTATTCTCTAAGCAATCTTATCGAACTTATATGATGTCTGAAAATATCATTTCCGCAGACAGACAATCCTATTTTCTTAAAAAAAAAAACGTAATTCATCAATGAAATTCAGATAACACGGGGATTTTGCTTACTTTGGGGAGAAGAAAAAGTTTCCATCGGAAGACATGGGAATTAAACTGAGTTTTTAAGAAAATATATGAATAAACTAGTAAACTTAATGATGATGAACTGGGGCATCAACATAGTCTTGAACTACATTTCAATTGTGAATTTAGCTGGAAACTTTCTCGGGTCTTATCCCCTGCCAAGGTTCTGGTTTTATTAGTTAATTTAACCATTTTTTTGGAGGGGTGCTGTTATTGGGTGCTGTTTCCCTAATTTTGTTCTTGCTGTGGTTTTGTTGCTTTGCCCCAAAACAGCGACGCTTATCAGGAAATGATTTCAAAACGTTAATTGAATTGTCAATAGATGGAACGGAGGAGGCGGACTGGGAGGCGGTGGGCCTCAGAGCACAGCCTAAAGTCTCTGGCAACGGGTGATAGCAGGGGAATGAAAGGTATATGAAAAGATATATGTACATATAGTACACCCCATGGTGTACATATAATTCTTGGTATTGCCTCTATAAATACCAAAAGCCAAGTGTATGTAAGTCGTTCTCTAATTGCATTTGCCAGATAAGAATTTGTGGCGACTGTGTCGAATTTAGTCGCCTCCAGATCGGCTTTCTCGTTATGGAAATCCATCCAGGCCCATATCAAGGCCATAATACCAACATAATAATGTATCCAAACTTGTTATTGTTAGTCTCGATATCGATCGATCGATGATTGTTTTTGTCGCACTCGGTCGGTGTGATTATCTTGATCGGCATTGTTTGGGTCAACAGCGGAAAGTTTTTGTCGCGTTTCAGAAACGTGCTTGGCGATAGAGGAGTGCGAATAAAAACGTGTTTTCCGCAATCACTTTTGACTGGCATTGATAAATCGGGGCTGCCCCCAAAGAGTTCTACAAACTTTGGTGGCATTGCGCTGAAAGATAGATCAATATCACTTCTAATTGGAGGGTAACCCATTAAATGATAGCAGAACTTCTCTATTTATAAATAATTTAGTAAGAAGTTAGTCCACCAAAAGTAGATTATAATGGTCATAATATAGTCATCACGGCAAAAATAGAAAAACTGTCATTTTTTGGCCATTCTCTGTAGATGCCAGAGTTCAGATAAATCCAAAATTCAGACATCTAGCTGCCAATCTCCAGACATAAAATTTAAATGCTGACCCAGCCCTGCGCTTACAAATATGAAAAGTGAACAAGAGTTCTGAGTTATCTGGACATAATATGATATGATATGAACATGATATGATCCACACGGCGGAGTCATAAATTAAGTTCTTTTTCCATGAAAACAAAAAAGCGAAACTAAGACACGTTTACAGTGCCAGTGATTTTGATTTATGTGTCTCGATTGTGGAATCGATTTAGACTTTAGCCCAAAAAAATGTGCGTTACAATGAAGGGGGAAGCTTCGGCCTTGTATTGCCATTTCTAACTAATTCTAATTAAACAGAGATTTCATCGTGGGTTTAGTGCCCTAAATTTGTAATAACAATCGCGCTGGTCCTATCCTATGCTATCATATCTTTGAAATGTTATAAATACCGCCGGTAATTTGCCAATCGCACACCTTATATAAATTTAATGCCGTCGCACTTGGCCAGACATGTGCTTCGGTCTCTTATCGATGGGCCGATGGGCTTGTCTCGGAGGCAACGGAGGCGGAGGCGGCTAGAATCTGCCAGGGGGCCAAAACCAACAAACACCACTCGAGACTAGGACAACCGACCCAAAAGGGACCTAAGATGCCGGGCCAGTTGCATAAGCCTCTGGTATTTAGTGATCCATTACCATTAGTCTACCGACCAATTAAAATAAACTGCGCAGATGTTTCAAAAGGTATTTCGCTTGCTATTATTTTGAATAACAAATTGGTCTGGCGAATGGCTGTTTGTGTACTTATTTTTTATGTAAATATTATTGTGGCACATAAAATGGATGGGGCACAGTGGGCCAGCAGGAGTGCTTTTTGGAAGTTATTCCCCCCAGCAAGGGGGATGTACTTTCTAGTAGCTAAACATTTTAAAGAACTGAACAAACAATGAATCTATCAATTGTTTGTGATTGTCATCAAGGAATGTTATCAAAAGCTATATAAATAAATAATATTATAGATTATTTCCCCGAGAGGATTCCTTTTGAAGGGCCTATTTCAGGTGTTTTAATCTGTAGTTTCAATATTTTTCCCCAGTGTTTGGCTGCCAAATTGTCTGTGGCTCGAGGATACCCACCCAAATCCATCAACCTTTCAAGGCAACTTCAACACCCACTCCACCACCCATCAGACTGCACCCACCGCCCCATTGATAGCAGCAGAGCAGGCAGACGAAGCATTATAATCTTATCGGGCCTTCTCTTATTGATTAATATAAAGATACCGACCACCGAGAATCGTGGGCACGGGTATCTAGCTGGGGACCCTCCGTCCAGGCATCCACCTGGCTGGCGCTAACCACTGACATATAGAGCAAACAGAAAGACACAATTATTTTTTCATATTATTGTTATTTGTTATAATGGCAGATATGGGGGGTTTGGGATGGAGGGGTAGCTCCTTTGGACAGTCCTATCTGACACCCATTTCTCGCCCTCCAGCCTTTTGGCGCCCGCGGAACTTCAACGACGATAAAGTCGACATTGACTGACGGACAGGGTGGTGGATACACTGGGCCAAAAGTGTTGATAGTTTACTGGGTGTTTTGTGGGTAAGCGGGTTCAGCACCTGTTATTTGCGCACTTAGATAAGCGGGCTTTTTGGCAGCCCATCAGAGGTGATAATCGATTGGGTTTATGGAGGTGTGTGTTTTGGCTTTAACTTTTATGTTTGCTGGTGGCGAAAACGCGATTCGGAAGCCTTGTCTTGGACGGAGTTTTATGACCGGGAATTATCGCAAAAACGGAAATACAAAGGCTTCTGTTCAATAAAAGGGGCTATCGCCAATAATTATTCACCCTAATTGTATTAATAGATTTTTTGTTTCGAGTGATTTGGTAAGTACTTTGGTATTTATGGCATTTTTTCTTTAGATTGCTGGGAAATTTGTTATGAAACGGTATAAAGTACTTGGTTTGGCTTAAGAGCGAATTAATTGGGTCTAAATATCAGTT